TAGAGGGTGTTAGGTCCACTCCCCACTTATAAAAATAGCACTTTACTACTGCACCCTCTCTAATCTCAGATGCACCCTGAGTCATTTTGTTCTGGAACCGGGCCTGCCTTTCACGCACCGCCTTCACTTTGTTTACCTTCAGAATCATTAGAAAGGCTAAAGAGCGGTGTGGCTGGTGTTTTTTAACCACACACACACCTCTACAAACACACACACACACATACACGATTAAACGACTTGTGTTCCTCCATGTTTCGTTGTTATTGTTTCACTGAGCGGACCCGCGAATTTTTTTCAAACGCTCCCTTTTTTGGTCCATCTGCGGCGTTAATAGGTTTTGTGCGCTGTGATGATTCGGCTGTACCTTGTAATGAATATTAAATGTTGTGTGGAAATCTTTCCACCAATAATTCCAATAAGTAATCCAAAATGTATTCACTTAAGGTTTACGAAAGTAGGCTAACTGTAATCAGATTACTACGAGCTGAATACAGTTACTTGATTTGTGTTCTGATTACGTAACGCCGTTACATGTATTCCGTTACAACCTATGGTTACAACCGAACCCTGTGTATCATATATGTCCTTATCTGAGTCAGCTTCTTGAGCCGTATCTGGCCGTGCAACACTCACAGTGTCACATACTGTATGCAGAAGTATTATTTTAAGCAACACATTAAGTTGACGAAACACTCGAGTCAAATGTAATTAAAGTCAGATCGTGTCTTTGACGGGGCAGTGATATCATAAACCTGTTAAAGTACGCATTCAAACACTTTTTCTTTTACCAGCTGTGTTCACCTTGCACGTGTAGCTAGTGGCTTTTATCCTGGATACAGTGTTTAAGTCATGGATGTTTAAAGTTTAACTTCTTCATATTTGACTAATATTAAAGTTCACTTTTCATTCAGGAAGTATGACGCTGCGCTGTCAGTGCGCTTCTCCGTGTTTGTGATTGGTCGAATGCTCCAAATACCACCCCTTTCATGTGAACGCGCACCCAACTAGATAGGGCACGGCTGGTTTGAGCGATTCCACTTGATAACCAGCGTCGTAGTACAGTTTAGTGAGAGCGCGTATGTTTTGGATTAGGCCAACCGGCTAACTCAAACATATCCAGGTTATGTTGAACCGGCTTCGTTGTACAGGCCTTTTGTCTAAGGTAATCTGTCTGGAACGAAACTCTGCTACTGGAACTGCAGCGTTAGTTAGTGCTGCAGGAGCAGATAGTATAGTAAGAGTAAGAAAAAATAAGAAAATGGAGAAAAGCACAATTGGTTTCTTCGTGCTGGTGTTAACCATTGTACAGATTTCCAACAGGTGAGTTGTGTTGTTATGTGTTGGTTTTAGGGAATCTATTTTTGTAAGTGTTCAAACTTAGCATGTTAGTGTGAGAAAAGGTTTTTCGGTATAGCAGTGTACACAACGAATTCCTAAAAAAATGTGGTGCAAAAAGTTCTACTTCTACGGAAGCCCCAGACAGACAAGTGAGGGGAATCAAATATTTTGGTGACTGTTTTCAAAGTCTGATCTAAATTGTTATTTCTCCTGATTTTATGACTTGAGAACGGCTTTAAAAAAATAGTTTTGTCAGGGAAATCTGTGATGAACTGCTAGATGAAGTGTTTTTGTAATACACACCGTTCACCTGTTTACTATGTTTTTTTGTGCAACAAGGCAGATAAAGATGTATAACCCTATATTCATGTTTTTAATCCACAGTTTAGTTGAGGGCTTGGAATCAACACAGATTTATGACTACACCAAATATCACCCCATGGATGAGGTCAGAGTCTATCTATCCATGTATATCCTTTTATAACCAGATGGTATTTTATTATTAATAAATCTTCCCTCCTTTTGTTGTCTCACACCTGTGTTTCTTCTATTGGATACTATAAAGATTGTAGATTACTGATGGATTTGAACAAAGGGAGCTTGTGTATTATGTACATTACAAGAATGAATTATAACATGGATGAAATTGTAACAAAGATATACAAGTGGATGGAAGATGTGGAGCGAGAGAACCCAGAGCTGGTCTCCTCTGCTGTCTACGGTCGCACTTTTGAAGGAAAAAATATCACACTGCTGAAGGTACAACACATTCACTGTAACATACAGTATCTGCTTCATTTCCCCATAATGCTATGTTGAATTTACGAAAGCCCTGAGAGGCAAAAGTTCTGCTGAGCCATTTTCTAAGTTTGATTGAGTAGTTTTCACTTATGAGACGGAAAAAAAAGACTACCAAAACTTTTACTTTCACCTGGGATCTGTTGTAGTAATACCTATATTGAACACAAGAGGCTGACATTCACAACTTAATGCCTTTACTCCTGTTTCAAACATGGGGTAGTGTTGCAGCTCATCCTCTTGTGGGAAAGAAACTTAAAAAAGATTATTTTGGAAAAACATCTATTTTTTACCTATGTCTTAACTATAAACACAGGAGAGAAAACATGTTAAATCAGGCTTGATCACCAAATGTTTTTCCTCACTTGCCTCTCGCCACTTTGTCTGAACTGAATATCAACAGTCGTCGATAAAATGTTTGCATCTTGAGCAAAATGCTGCTATTCATCACAATCTCACTATTTATGATTGAGAAAACCTTCTAAGTGATAAGGTGGTGAATATGTGTATTGAACCAAAAATATTAAACTAATTGTCTCACACATCTTACTTTTAAATTGACTCATGTTGTGTGTCTCCAGTTTGGACTACAAAACCCAGAGGGCAAAGAGAAGAAGGTAATATGGATGGACTGTGGTATCCATGCTCGGGAGTGGATCGCCCCCGCATTCTGCCAGTGGTTTGTCAAAGAGGTTTGTACACTCGGACATAATTTAAAAGACAAACATATTCCCTGTGGTTTATTCTGACATGTGAGCGTTTGTTCAGATTGTAACCTCGTATAAAACCAATAAGAAGCTGGAGCAGATGCTGCAGAACCTGGACGTCTACGTTACTCCTGTGATCAATGTGGACGGATACATGTACACCTGGGTCAATACCAACGTGAGTTCACCATTTTAATACAGTCAAGGATTGTTATTTTTTTTTCATCATTCATCACAGCCTTACTTAAAACTGTCTTCACCTGCATCTGTGTGTTGTTTCCTTGTAGACTCGAATTTGGAGGAAGTCTCGTTCCACCCCTCCTTCGGGCAATAGCTGCCTTGGTGTTGACCTCAACAGGAATTTTAACGCCAACTGGGGAAGTGAGTCGCATGCTTTCAACAATTAGAACAGTATGCCTCATTTGCCTTAAGCTGTTAGCGACTCAAAGCTTCCAGGAATTAAACAAATATTACTTGCATAACTTATTTGAATCATATACGAAATGTCATAAACCTAAAAAGAAAGGATGTGGTGGAAACAAAACATCTATACTGTAGTCAAAAATGTGTCAAAAAATTAACACCCCCAGATAAATGTATTGCTACTGACATGAACAGCTACATTTTTATGTGATATTAGAAGGCCACAGAGTTAAATGAAATATTGTTGTGACATGGCTCATGCCCTCTGGCAATTTAATTGTTGGTTTTCACAAGCGTTTCCCGAGGAACTCACATTTTATAATTTTGTTTTGACATAAGAAAGTATGTTTGAATCATAAAGCTGACAGCGCTTTGTGAAATCTGCCATATATTATCACAAGTTAATGTTGATGTACTTGATGTTGTGTCTTTCCTCAGCGGTTGGTGTGTCATTTGACAGTTGTGCAAACACATACTGTGGGAAAGAAGCCGGGTCAGAGCCAGAGGCTACAGCTGTGATGGACTTTGTTGGTAATCATCTATCATTGAAATGTCATTGTTCCTGAGCTTATCATGAAATCTCGACAACATTAATACATTCAAATTTTAAAATAAGCATTACTTGACTATCATTACTGAGGCTGTGCTACACTCTTTTCAACATTTACTTGTACCATTAAGAAATCAATGTCTTAATGCCATCTTGATTTTAATCACTTGTTCATTTTGTCTGTATCTAGGTAAGATGGTTAAAAAGACTCTGTGTTTTCTCACCATCCACTCCGCGGGGCAACTTATACTCTTACCATATGGCCACCCTCAGATCTCTGCACCCAACTATGATGAACTGGTAAGTGTGTGCTTCGTATTACAGAGATGTAAACAGTAAACCTTTATGTGAAATATACACAACGTTCAAAACATTTACTTTGTCTTTGTGCGACATACTGCACTGATAAAAAATTCCCTTTGATTTGTGTTAGATTGTTATGATCACAATGATGTCATGATTTACCCTTTAAGATTTGATTGGAAAGAGACTATGGGTACTTGGTTTACTAAAAATAATATTGTGTGTGTTGTACAGGTGTCAGTGGGGAAGGCAGCAGCAGCAGAAATGAAGAAGCTACATGGAATGGGCTACACAGTAGGAACATCTCCACAAATCCTCTGTAAGACTTCTTATGCCATCCCCTTTTCTCTCCTGTCACGAATAGCTGTTTTTAACACATGATCTGCGCTTGCTCTGACAAGTTTTTCTGACTTATCCTTTGCCAAAATATAAAAAGAAAGAGGAACATGTGAGATATAAATTCACATCACCCTAGCTGTCAATATGAATCAATGGGATATAATGCATAATTTCTTAAGATGCTGTGGGTTTGAATCATGTATTTTTTTGCATTGAATAGTTAGCATTGTTTAGCTATCAGTTAGCCATTTTTACTACATAATGTTAGTGGTGCATCCAGCTCCCGTGAACACAGCACTATACAAATAAAAGTTATACATGTACGTGTTTTCTATATTTAGTACACGTAGCACTATTCTATTTTCAAAAATAAGCCAATGTTGGTTATATCGGATTAATTTAGTATCCTGTAGTTATTTGCTAACAATAACGCTAACTAGCTAGCTAACAATGGCGACTTTCACTTCCTGTGATAGCAACGCAGCCATGTGCTATTTGAGTCAACACTCCGGTCTAAATTCACACACTGAGCAAATGTTCACTGTGCACCACAAGGCAGTGTACCAAGGAAAGCATCCACATTGAGAAACAGTACAGATTAATACACATTATTGAAAGTGTGGATTTCAGTTTGTTGAAAAAGAAAGGAAACAACTACCTTTTATTGACTGGATGATTCAAACTAAAAGGGAGTATTCTAACTTGATAGGAAAGCGTAAAACTATAGGATGTAGTGTAAAAGAGTAGACCATTTTGAAAAATGTGTAGTAGTCACCCTGATGGATTAACTCATGAATAAATTGATCACAATTTCTCCCTCTTTAACCTTTAGATCCAAACTCAGGCTCAAGCCGCGACTGGGCTCGTCTCGTCGGCATCCCCTTCTCTTACACCTTTGAGCTGCGAGACAAAGGTGAGCTTGGCTTGACCAACGTGGGTTTTACATAATCATCAGCCACACATAATGCACTGGATTCTACTTGGTACTACTCTGCATGTTTCTTAATGACCCTCCAGGTGAGTTCAGCTTCTTGCTACCAGAGGATCAGATCAAGCCGGCCTGCGAGGAGGCGTACGCAGGAGCGCTGTCCATCATCACATATGTCCACGACAAGGCCTTTAACAGTGGCGCTATCCCTAGTGCTGCTGTTTCTGGGGTCGCTATGGTGATGTTAAGCTCCTTCATGGTTGTGTTTCTCACCACAGGGGTGTTGTTGTAATCAATCATACAATAGTTAAACTTGAACTAATTTTATATTTTACTTACTGAGGCATTCACCCAAATTCTAATAATGTGGCTAATTAAGCTAGATGCTAAAAAAGCAAAAATAATTGCACTATCCAGTATGATTCTCATTAATTAATATGTGTATATGTACTTGCACTGGCTATAAATGTATGCATTCTGGCCTGTATTGTGGTTGTATATGCTGCTCCCAGGCCTAAAAGAGCCTGTAGACTAAACATGTTCTATATTCATATTCAAGACTAGAACAAATAAAAAGCTTTTTAAAAAAGGATGATGTTGAGGCTTTTTGCAGCAGGGGGCAGTATTGAACCATTTAATAGACCACCGTATTTCTAAACCATGCAGGGTTCTCAGGTCCAGACACATGTTATAACTTCATTCTTTCTTTAGCTGGGTCATATGGCTGGAGGTTTTTTCGTACAGCGTAGCTACCTCTTAAGAATCTAGTTTTTGTCAAATCTGATTATCTTTCAATCTTAACACCAAGTTGGACCAGCCATCATAAAGATATTTACCTTCCTGCATAGCTCCTGTTCATTCTGTCCTTATAGTCCTTAATTATAGCATTCATCATGCATGCATTTGATGACAACATTAAATTGATGTGAGTGAAAAGGCTGGAGTTTGGTAACACAAAGGGATCTGTCATCAGCTTCTCCCCATATGACTTCATGGTAATACACCTTAATGAGGATCTACAGTATGGGATATATGAATAATAAGTAGGAGGCGCTTTGGGGTTAGTTTTTGAAAGATTTCCATAAAAATTTAAATTTTTAACATCAGAGATATCCCAGTCATTTCAGTGTTTACTAACAGTTATGAATTGGGACAAATACTAGAAAAAGTGGGTTTTAAGACAAATTCATCTACTGAAACGTAAACAGCCAAAGAACATGTGTGGTTATTAGAGCAGTAAAGGTTCAATATCATGTGCAGCGGATAGATTTGTTCTATTAATATTCCTCATTGCAATGCACTGACCTAGATTGCAGTTGCCCTCTCATCGCCTGTATTTTCAAATGTTAATTACCTTTTTAATCTACAAAAGGACCAGATTTTGGGTTCCTTATTTCAATTATTTCATCTGAATAATTAAGTGTCAGGTTGCAATAGAAGGTGTGTTTTCCGCAGTAGCCCTCAAAATGCTATTTGGAAACTTTTTCGTGGTCATTCATGTCATTTTTTGTTTGAGTCTGAATGTCTTTAAAGAGGCCCTATTACTTTTGGGGGGATTTTCCCTTTCCTGTATTGTTATATAGGTTTTTGTGCATGTAAATGGTCTGCAGAGACAACAAATCTCAAAGTTCCCTCCCACTTGGACTCCTTTGTTTAGTGCTTTTCCATAACATAGTGACATCACTATGTAACACTTGCACTCCAATACATTGTACGATACGCTAAGGTGCGGGACATTTCTAAGCGGTTGACCAATCATAACAGAGCCGGCCAGCTTACCAATCAGAGCAAACCGGGCGCTGGTTTCAGACGGAGGGTGAAAAGAGGTGCTGCAGCACAGGCAGTATGAGAAAAATAAAGATCTTTTTGAACATTAAAGCATGGACACATGTCGCACAAAATACAAATCTGAACCTGAATTGTCTTGAAATGTGCATAATAGGGCTTTAACTCAAGGTTTAAGTCTTACTATATCCAACAGATTGCTTGAAATTACCACAAAAGAGTGCTTTGGCTTGTCTCTGAGGTTTTCTCATTGGATTTGAATATTTAGGGAATTTAAAAAAGTTCAAAGTTAGTTAAGCTCTAGAGAGCATATTTTCGGTGTATAAGAATAGGTCTCTGGTAAGAATTTAAGATATATTCCCTCAAATGTCCTCTCTCTGCCTTGCTTTCTTTCTGAGATTTATATTTCCAGAGTGCTCCCCTGCTACCTCAGTGTCTGCTAGACCACCCGTTATAAACATAAAGAGACACACACTTTGCCATTGACGATGTGACAGCAATGGAAATAGAATTATATTCCAGCTCACATGAAACCTCGATAGAACAGAAAGATGGGTCAAACACCAGGGGACCGAGAGAATAATAAGCAGGAACAGTGACACACACACACACACACACACACACACACACACACACACACGAACTGGGCAGGGATTCAGAGACACAGATTGAAGGTGATTATAATTCACAGTGAAGTCTGGCTGGTTTAGCTATCAGCAGCTCATCCATCTATTTGTGTGTGCATGTGTGGTTGAGTACTCATCAAGGTAGCGGGTGAAAACACACTGTGGACGTATAAATCACAGAGATAGGGGAAGGGAGGAGGGAGAAATCAAGTCTACACATCAAGGAAAAAGTGATTGAAAAATGGATGGAAGGAACAAAGAGTGGAAGACAATAAAAAGGGGGGGTGGTGGTAATGTGGGGGTTATAGCAAAGTGTGTGACTTCTAAAAACAAAATGGATTTAGTTAAAGTAAACAGTAATGATTCGAGTCTTCTACCAAAGGAAAAAAACATGATTCTGCAATAAAACTAGAGGGGCCCTCGGAGAGTATGGACCTTCCCCAAAGGCCAGACCCTGTCTCGCAATGAAGGTTACAAAATAATTGTATCCACACTGATTATTTTCCATTCCAAAATTAAAGCTGTTTTCCTTGGCCCACACAATGAATAAGAGCATCTTTCCGTAATCCTGCTGACAAACAAGTAAAACAAACCAAATGAATTACCTCCTTGGTGGAGGTAAAAAGATTAACATAACTGTTATATACCTGATTATGTCTTTGCACCGTCCAGATCCCTATCATTTGAGTCGCCGCTTTGCTAAAGTATTTCTGGTCACTTACTTCATTGGATAACAGCAGGTGTCCATTAGCCACTATAAGTTTGAACTTTTTTCCCATAGATATGAAAGGCTCATTGTACGGTAACGAAAAAACAACACTTATTAGTTTCAGGTGAATATACACAAATGGAAACATGTGTTATGATTTATTAGTTTTTTCCATGTTTGCCAAAGAATCCCCCTTAATCCCACACGGGTCGTATGTTTACCCATTACCTTTAGATACAATAAACCATCTGTGTCATGATCAGGAATTTAAGCAGTTTTAAGAGATATAATCTCAGTGCTATTCCAGTTCACCAAGCCAAGTAATAGAACAAATATTGATTAAGTAAAAGAACAAACGAAAAAAACGTAATACCCGATTCTCGACAGATGATTCAAAAGCGCTCAGATGTTTTGGGGATTTCCTATTCTCATTTCCCCTTTGTCCTAGCGGGAGCTCATTAAATCACATTGGTACAGTTATTTTGTTGGGACCCTCAAGCAAGTTTTACACTGACTATTTTGTTATCTGATCAATACGGGACCAGTTACCAAAGGACGTATATGAAGTTGACTGCTCTGGCTCTTAGTCAAATGGTGACTTGGGTGGAAACGTTTAGAAAAACAAAGACAGTGGAGATACTTTCACACAATCCAATTTGATTTATTGAAAGATATTTTGATGATTGGACATTTCCTGTAATGTTTCAACAATGGCAACCCTGTTGAAATGTTAATTACATCCAATTAAAGGAAATGGTAGCAGTATGTTTATTCAGGCTTAAATATGTATCTTTTGGGTGAGAGAATACGTTTAAACTTTTACAAACTCTACGAAACCCCCAGGTGCCGATCAGGGTTCACTTTCCAGACTTGTGAGGTTAAAAGAGGAGAAATCATGTTTTTATTTCTCTGTGTTGGGACTAATGTGAGTATTCAACCTCTCATCTGTCGACTCCACTCTTCTTTACGGAGATACCAGAGGGAAAAGCCTTAGTACTTTACTCTTTTCCACAGAGTGTGACTATGAGTTGATTTCCGTGGTATGTCAGTACATTTCACAACTGATCCTGTTTCATGTTTTAAGCTTCGACTTTCATGGGGCTATTTTGCTTCTTCAAACGTGTCTTTGCATGTGTGCCACACACATTCAAATGATGAATAGAAGTGAGTGTGAGAGGGCTCCTCTGCTGTGGACCCGTGACACATCTTTGCCACAAAGTTTTATTGCTAATCAATGTAGATGACACCATTTTTTACACACTGTCACAGGCGATCAATGGGAATTATGCCATGCTTTTTATCTGTCACTGGTAATCAATGAAGGTGGGGCCATCATATGCATCTTCTGATCATTACATCTGGTGATCAATAACAAAGCTTGCTGAGGGATGACATGTGTTCATCATACCGGAGTACATGATGATAGGTAGATGTGTGTGCATGTGTGATGTGAGAGGACAGGAAATGTGTGAAGGGGCTGAATGGCAAACGTACACAGGGAGGGAACTTGTTCAAATAAAAAACATGGACAAAGGTAGCTGGAAAGAATTTGACACTAGAGAGACACAAAGCTTGGGAAGTGGAGCGGCCATAATTCAAACCATCATTCTGCCAAGGTTATCAACACACCATACAGTAGACAACATAACCTCCCTCCCTCCCTTCCTTCCTTCCTTCCTTACTAACTGTCTATAGGTGCTCACAGTGGGGCCTTCAGTGGGTCATTGCAGACATGGTTAATGATGTGTGTGTTATAGGCACTGTAAATCCTGTTCCTCCTTATCAGTGTTTTACTGTGTGCCATGAGGTCCTTCGTGATTGTGAAAGTCAGAACACATATTCTGCATTGTTATTTCATACAGGGCCAACAAGAGCATGCTTTTATCCTATTTAACAATCTTGTTTTTGTAACACCATAATTTCCAGTTTAGTTTATGACGGAAATTATTTTGTTCTCCACACATATATTGTTTTGATATTTGTAACACCAAACATGACCCAGTGGTCTAGTTAATAAAACGTAATAATATCAAACATAATATTACTATTAACTTTATTGTGAAATTATAACAGAACGGTAAAGAAAAATACAGTTTCAGTCTCTCGATTTGAAGCTTATGCATTGTACCATGAACCTGTATAGACCTGTAACAGTCAACTGCATGAGGAGTTGGAAAGGTAGTTTCTGAAGATGTTACAAATAACACACAGCATACAATGCCATAATAACTTTGTATTATTAGTGTAGGACACTTGTGTATGTATAACATCTGAAGATGTGTAGTTTTATTTATGTTTTCACATAATTTTACAGGATATTGCTTAATATTTCACATATTTTAGTACTACACATTAATATCTGATTTGTAAAACATCACAGACAGAAAGGTATATCCGTCATGTAATGGTAAGCTATTGCAATTCTGAATCCATAGATGTGTCTCCCATCACCCAAAACCCCTGAATATTC